TTTTTTTTTTTTAATCAAATATGGATAAAAAAATTCCTGGCCTTATTTACACATTTTGAGCTTGGCTTGGAGATTCTGTTTCTGGAAGAATCTCCTTTCCCTCTTCTCTTCTTTGTATTCCCCCTCTCCTTCCAGTAAAGATTGCCCGTTTCTAAGAAATGGCTTCCTTTGCAAAGGGACAGAGTATATCAACCTTAATATTATGAATTCACCAAATGATAGGCATATACATTTTAGCACGAACATCCAATAAAAATAAATACATCTGCAGTGAACATGGTAAATTATATGCGAACTTACACTATAATAATAAACAGGAAACAGCAGCATCTGAGTCTGCAACTGGCTTCTCAGGAGGCTCCGTGCTTCCAGCTGTGGTAGCAGCTGTGGATCTGGCTCTGGAACTCTTGCTGAAATAAGCTGACAAAGGGCTGATTACAACATGGAGTTCAGTTTCTGCTTGGATTCATTTTCCTTTTAACACACTTTGGTTATGAAAAGTTTGCTCATTTACCCTGTTTGTGGTTTTATATCCTGCCCTTCACAGTCATTGGGCTGGTGTGGTGATTATCACCATTCCTAGTGACCTTGATCGTGGGGACCTTACACTGTCTATACCATTTGTGGAACACGGCAATTTGGTTTTGGCTTACTGAAAGAAACTGAAAACTCTCTTCCTTTTCCTTCTCCCTCCCCATCCCCAGAGGCTGTTCAGCATTTTTGTCCAAAATATTACACAGTAAAGTTGTTGCGGTTTATTTTTTCAATTGTTTTTATATGCATAGAAAACAATTTAGGAGAAGACCAAATGATATTCACCTGCAGTGAAATCTGTAGGACAGGCAGATACTGGGTAAACTCTGCCAGGTGAATCAAGTAGAGAAGTTATTTTTATTACTTTTTAATAAAGGAAGGAATTCTGATTTCACAGAACCTGAGTGAGCAAAACAGCATTTACCCATGTGTTCCCAAAGCTGTATAGATATGTACCCTTATTGCAGGTCCTTCTTTCCACCTCTGGTTGAATGGACTCTTCTTAATGGCATGCTAAAGACATAGTTAAGCTACTAAAAATTCTGGCATTGTTTCAGCAAAGATTTAAGCACATACTTAGAATTAAACACTTCCATTGCAGAGTCTGCTTTGTGAACTCCCAGATATCAGCTTCTGCTCTCATACTGTGGAATGTCCCTGGTCAATATCCTGAGACCAAGACAGTCGTTTTTATTATGAAGTCTTCTTTTCTTTCAGTCCCGCCATCTTCTAAGAAAACAGCTGTATTCTTCAGCTTAACTGAATTACAAAATTAAATCCCAGTTGCCTCTGTAACTCATTGCTCAAACTCTTCTTTTTCCCTATGTTGCTTTTTCTCCTAAGGAACAATAGATAAAGTATGTGCTTCCTTCTGTCACTTTTCTCCCTCCCTTTCCCTAATCCTTTCTCCTCCACTGTCAGAGCAGCAGGAGTTTCTTGTCTACTCTCCCTCTGTACCCCTTCCACTTGCCCCAGTGACCCCATGTTCTGTTCTTCCTCTTATTTCTCCCCTCCCTTATTCTCTTTCTTAACCTCTCACTGTCCTCTGGCTCTTTTCCACTGCAGTATAAGCAAGCATTTGCCTCTTAAAGATTGCACCTTTGACCCTACTTGGTTCTTCATACCATATCTCACTGCCTATCTCTTCTTCGTTCCTAAGCTCATTGAAGGCGCTGTTTATAATTACTGTCTGGAGACCCTCTTCTGTGATTCCCTCCTATAACTCCTACACTTTGGCTTCTGTTCCATGCTTGCAACTGCAACAGCTCTCACCAAACTCCCTGATGACAAGATCTCAGAAACAGTAGTCTATCCTCATTCTTCTTGACTTGTCAGTAGTTGCTGCAGTTGACCAGACTTCTTTAAACTTGTGTCTTTTGTTGCTTTCTGTGGCTGTTTTGCTAATGTTCTTCTTTCTAAGCAGTTCTTCAGCATGCTCTTCAATGGAGGGATGTGGTTGGAGGTGTGGGGCTCTGCTTTGGCTGGAATCTTTTGTGCTTTTAATGCCTTATCAGTTATTTCATACACAAAAAAAGAAAACGTACAAGCCAAACGTATCTGTAGATAACAGATCTACCTTCCTATTGAAACCTATTTCCTCTCACTTGAGCTTATTGGAACCACATGGATGCAATTACAAAGCATCCTGCCCGGTGCTGCCTCAAGTCTAGATGTCTTGGCAAATGCTCAGAGCAGACACATTGATTATCATCCCTCTTTCATGCAGACATGCATATTTTCTCCTTTCATATGCTAGACTCTCTCTACCCCAGCTAGCTATACTCAGTCCCTGCCTGCATCTGTTCCAGTTTGCATTACTTTTGCTATAAATGACTCAGATTGTATCTCTTGTCTCCAATAAGAATATAACAAGGGCTTGTCAACTGGAATTAATATTTTATGTCCTCTGTTAAAAATGCTTATCCTGATATATGTTTGGAGTGCATTTCACTCTTTTACAGCTTCATTTTAAGCATTTTACTTTCTTTGTCATTATCATCAAGTAAGTCCCATTTCTATTGCTCCTGTCCTTTGTCCATGGAATCCCAGTGCTTTTTTTTTGTATTGACAGTACCAAGAAATTTAATGTTATCGCCACATCCCTACTTTTTATGCCAATTCATTAAATGAAAATACTAAGTAAAATTCTGCCAAGCTCATCCTTGATGAGCTCTACTGAAAAAAAGTTCTTTCATTCTCCAAGGGACTTTGTTCTGTTTCTGGCAGGAAGTTCTTTATCTGTCAAATTGTTTCAGTAATCCCTATTTTCTCCAGTTTTATATGGAATATCAGATGCCCAGTTAGATTATATCTATCATATTTTAATGGTTTAAAATGTCAGTCTAGTCACAATGTTATAGGCATGCAGAGAGTTCATAATCTCAAACAGATTTGTACCTTGTAGTAGGCAGATTCCTCAGGTCAACACATACTTTTGTACCCCAGCAGACCCAGATGAATTACGTAAACTCAGGCAAGTTTCTGCTTGCTGGTGTGAACCACAGGGAGTATAACCTTCTTCTCTAGATACCTTTTGGCCTACTTTTACTTTTGTTTGCCCTACTCCATTCCAGATGTCATTCATGCCACATTATCACTACTAAATCTTCTTGATCTAACATATGTAGCTGCTAGGAAAATGTAAAGATATATGTAATTAAAGGGAACATGTGCACGTACATACTGTATGTTTTGCATTTACTTTGTATTTAGTAATGTTCTTGGTCACTTCATAGTAAGTGTTGTGGCTGATGTTGCAAAACAATTTCAGTAAAAGCCTGTGTATTCACTAGCTACAGGCATAATATAATACTATGTAAAAAGCAATCCTTTGGGTCTGAAATTTTTTGTGCTTGGTTTCATTTGAAAAACTGTTTACATATAAAAAAATGAATGAAATTATCCTGAATTGTTTTTGAGTTATGTGTCACTGAAGAGCGAGTCAGTGTTTAACTGTTAACAGTAGCTACTTATTAAATCTTTAGATAAGAAAATTTAGAATTTTGAAACTTACACAATGACCTCTAAATTGTGATATTTAATGAAGTCTATGGCCAAGTTTCAAAAACCTGGTTTTCATAATGACATACGGATAATTGAAATCATGCATCATAGGCATCTGGACTAAAATTATGAGCAGGTTGTAATGGACCCAACCACTTTTGTCGAAACAAAATTAATTTTCGTTTCTTTGTCAGGGATAATCAAGTTCTTTTTAGGTTCAAGGTTTGCTTCATTCACACTGTTACTTCCAGTGTGCCAACACTGTACCTTCGTATAAGGGATGGAATATGTTCTATGCATTAAAATCTTGGCATTTTTTTCACAGTTTGTTTTTGCCTGTTACTTGTCGTAATTTCACATTCTATCAATCAGTTTCTCCTTCAACCAAAAAAGAAACAATGCATCCTTTACCCTATGGACCTTGACTACATACAAACTGGCATCTGTTCAATCTTGTTTGCATTATACAGTGTATAATTTTACATTATATCCTTCAGTGATGAAGGAAGGGGAATGATGGGGGATCGATGAATGCTCTTGTTCTTCTGTTAAGCAGTTGAGCAACCTCCCACTGGGACCGGGGCTCTGACTGCCTCTGAATTTGGTGTAGATCCCTCTACAGCCACACTTCTTTTGATTTTGAATGACTGTTTCTGGTTAGTTTAATTCTATTCCTAATCAATTAAAGATAAACAATTAGAAGTTTAATTAGAACTTCATGGCTCATAATTGTCATTAACAAAAGGAAATTTGAAGCAAATTCTATGCTAACACAGCATCAAGACTGAACAATGGAGGCTTGGTTGTGGCTTTCAGATTTTGTGCTTTGTGGAGCCGATAGCTGCTGAGAGACACAGTCTGGCTTCTCAGTTTCTTCTTGTCCCAAGGCATACCTAAACTACAACTTGCAATGGAGCTATAATTTTTATGCGGTACTGGGACAGAAATGCAAGTACAGAGATAGAGGGTGAAAGCTACCCCTTTCACCACAATTCTAATGACTTATGAGATGGTGGGGTTGTTATAAGTTGCTTGTGTCCGTGTGTTGCGCTCTGATCTGGGTAGCTGGCACGAGGAAGAAAATGATACTTTCCTCTGAATACCTTATGTGGGCCAGCCAAGGCAAAACTTGAGCTGGCTCTTACAACTTCAGAAGGAAATACCATGAAAAATTAAAGTCTCCTGCAGCAGTGTTAGCTTAGCTGCATTGCCAGTCCTTTATAACTTGTGACATACATTGAGCATAAATAAAGCTATAAATCCCTGTCCTGTGATTTAGAAAGAAAATTGATAAACCTGCTATTTTCATCTGGTGTAATTTTAACTTTTCATTCAAGTGTTTATTCTACACTGACTGGCTTAAGTATTCAAAAATATATTTAACCTTTTTTTTAATAAACATGGATGGATACAGATACGCATATATAAAACAGAAGTATCTTTCTCTGTTATTTTTATTGTAGGTATGTGTCATGTGCATTGGGATGCCCATATGAAGGAAATATCGTACCAGCCAAAGTGGCAGAAGTAAGAGTGAACTTCTGGCTTGTCTTTTTAATGAATCAAAAATACATTTTAAAATGTCTAGAAGTATTGTTCTCTACTTAATCCTAAAAAGTTCTTTAATGGATAAAATTTAAGGAAAACAAACACAAAACATAGCTAATACAAAAACTGGGTGCATAACCTCATTCAACCATATGGAGTCAAATCTAAGGAAATTAGTATGTTTTGAATGTTATCAGTGATGAAGAAAAATATTATGTGCTATTTGCTCCAACAAGAAGGTAAGGAAATGCTTAAGGAAATATACTCAAGCATATATGCCAGTGGACCATGGTGTATGAAGTGATTTCCAGCACAACCTCTTGCAAAGCGTATCTGCTTTTAAATCCATTTTCTGCTGGCATAAGCATACTGTCCTGTCAGCTGGTAGGGTCTCTGCAGCTACATTGTGCTTCTAGCGAGTGTCATATGAACCAAAACTCATCCCCAACGTGATTTGCTGCTACTTAACTTGCTCTACTGCTATGGTGGAATAAGCTGCATTTTCGCTCCCCACTCCCTTTTCCCGTTTAGGGTAAAGGAGAAGAAAGATGAATGTCTTAGTCCAGCCTTTTTTTCCAGCAGAGAAAGAGATGAGTGAAACGGAAGTGTTAAATTTTGCAGAACGGCAAAGAGGGCATGAAAACTGAAATGGACAGTAGAGAAGAAAGTGGAGAGAATTCAAGAGGCACAAGGCAGAACACGCTGGCCTTCCTTCTGGAGACTTGTCTTCTCTGTTACAGTTAATCACCTAGTTTTGTTGATCTAGCAGAATCTCCAAACCACATTTTATTTATTTATTTATTTGTAGCACTAGCAGCTAGTCAGCATTTGTCTGATATATTGCATTCTGCATGTGTGACTTTCAGGTCCAGTTCTCCTGCATCTTCTTGTATACATTCCAGATGGCGGTTGTGATAATACTTCTCCCACAGCAGCCACATATACTCACACTATTTGAAAAAAATAGCTAAATTGGAAGTTACTCAGTATTACTAAGTTAATTTGGTTTAATATGAAGTGAAAGTTAGAAGTGACAGAGCTTTAGTTAGAGCAGTGATGACAGATTCAGCAGTGCTGTTGGTAAATTGCTTATTGCAATATCATGTTCTCCAACAGGCTTCTTTCCATGTGTTGCTTGTTTTGCAACTACTCCTTGCACAGAAGAGCTGCTCCTCTTCAGTTTGCCGGTGGGAGTACTACTTAACGTTCCAAACCTGCAAACTTTTACTCACACAGATATTTTTATTTTCTGTTTTCATCCTAGTAGGTGTCTTCCTGTGTACCCATACACCATCATGTATGTGTTTAAGAATAAAAGCTGTCCTGTTAAAGTTATTGAGGCCCTGATTCAGCAAGCACTGATGTCTATATAGAAGCATGTGATTAGCTGTTAATGGATTTTACATAAACACATGTATTCATCCTTTGCTGAATCAGAATTATCAAAATTACAGGCCGTGTTGTTAAATCCTTTCAGAGAGCTGCCTCTCTGGTCATCATCTTTCTCGTGATGGTAGTGTGTGACTCCCTTGACTGTGAATTACAGTCAGCAGCTATGATTGAGATGTTTAGACTGTTTCTTCTGCAGTCAGTGACAGTGACCAATATTTTTTTTTGTTTAAGCAAAAGATTTTTTAGCTAAAGCAAAACCAATTAGGAGAGGTGACTCATTAACCAGATTACATGCTTTTCTAGCTTACTAGGTACATGACTGTTTTATACATAGTTACCCAGTGAGTTCAAACTTCAGATGCCTTTAGACTTCTAGAATCCATCTGGTACATCCATATAGTCCTTTATTTAAAAACCCCCACATTTCTCATCTATTAAAATAAACTGTGTAGTCCTTTTTTATCACTCTGCTTTTTCTTGAAATGGAGTCACTGTTTAACCATTTATCATCCCGTGGTTTGTGAATTTCAACCTTAGGCAAATAAGACTTGAAAGTTGTTGGAAGCACTGTGTAACATACTTGAAGCCAGTTGTGTTATCCATTGTCTTCCAGTCATATACTTGGCTGTTTTTATTTTTCTGCCTGTTTCTTTCCCTCCTTAGCTTTCTTTTAACCTAGAGCAGTAAATCCATGTAAGTATTATCCAGAATACAGGATGATCAGGCTACAGAAAATGTGCCTATTCTTACTGGAATGCTGTTGGATTATTACAAAATTTCCCTTACAGCACAAGGACTGCAGTGTGTTTTTATGTTGTTATTTGCTTAAAATAATCTGTAACTCAATTATGACCTTTTGTATTCAGTTTAAGAGTACAGTTTTAGACATTATTTCCAGCAGTAGGATTGTTCACATGCATAAGGGGTTGCAGTGTTGGGTCACCAACTCCCGTTTTGATCAATGCAGTCAGGGAAGTAGGAGAGTAGAACAAGACTCATACATAGTAAAACTGCTCAGTGGTGCAGAACACAACCCTGTTCAATCAACAAAGCTGCAAGCTCGTAGTCACATCCTGATTACACTGACAAAACAGTGTGTTCTCTTCTCCCCCACTCTCGTCCCCAAAATCCACATTGAAAACTTACAAAACTATAACTAATGGGCTGCCTCCTACTATGGTAGGATAGAAAATTTGGTATGAAAAACTCCCATTCATCTTCCAAGCATAGGCATTCTTCTTGAAATTAAATATAGATCTCTTTTTAAGGGTCAGTTTAAGGTTAGATCATGACAAGTCAGTGATGATGCTCAGCTTGTTAGTAGTTTCCCCCTCTCTTCTTTCATCTTCCAGAAAGCTGAAAGACCTAAGGACTGAGCAGGGGAAAGAAGTGAAGTATGTGTTCTAGCAATTTATATAGTCTTTATTGTCATTAAAATGCTCATCTAGAAAAACTTTGAATCATGAATTAAAAACAACATGAGAAAAAAATGAAGTTTACTTCCTTTACCCTGATCTTAAACTGAGGTTTGGGGATTAACTAGAGGTAATCCACCACTGCCAAAGATTTTTTTTTCTTACAACAGTAGTCCAGTTGAAACACCTGCCACGTGTTGATGATATAAAAATATGCTGTGAGATAGAATCCCTTTTTGCAATCTGGCGAATGTCACTTTCCTAAAGTGTATATTGAATTTATGTTGATACGAACCTGGGGCTCTTAAAAGCCCAAAGAGTTTTAGTACATTTGCAGTAGTCATAGCACTTCCAAGCTTTAAGCAGAACAATTCAGACTACTTGAAGTTATTTTTCAGCTGTTCTTTGAATTAAGTGAACATCAATATTAATCCAGCACTTCTGAGACTGCTGGTGCAGCACTTTGTCAGCTTCCTCAGACATATTCACAGCAATCCCACTGATGATGTCCTGGAATTGCTTTAACAGCATAGTGCAGTGCAACTGAAGATGTCTTGGAAAAGGGCTGTACTTCTTCATTTCTAAACAGTTAATTTCCAGACTGGGATTCCATTCCAGTGGAGTGGCCTTTCAGGATTGCTGATACACACTGGGGAATCCTAAAGGGGACAAACATACTCAGCATATGAAAATAAGATTAAACTCTTTCCAAATAAATTAAACAAAACTAAGATGGAAAGATCCTACATTCAGCTTCTAAAGCAATATTTTTGGTGCAAACATGATTTTGTGCTTCTGAGTGTATGTCTCTCCCCATAGAAACATTACGCAGCCAGACCTTGATTCTCTTACTCGTACAAAGAACTCCCCAAAAATGTAATTCCAGAAACATTTAGGCCTCTGCTTACATAAGTAAGAACTATTTGTATACGGTTTTGTTTGGTATTAAGAAAAAATTTAAAACTTAAAGACTAGAATGTTAATTTAGTTACAGTTTAGCTTTGTTAGCATTTTAATGTTTGCTGTCATGAAAAGCAAGCAAAATTAATATTAACTACCACATCTTAAAACTTCAGTATTCATTGATGTTTTCATTGCCAAGAGAAAGCAAAATCAGTTGTCTTGTTAATTATTTATTGCCTTAGTTCAGCCGTGTGCTTGGCTCTGTGTAATAAGCAAACAAAAGGGCAGGTCTTTACCCTGCACAACTTGTAAGCTGAAAAGTACACGGAGAAAACCAAACAGCTGGGAAATCCCCAGAGAGAGGAAGATGTTGGGAAAGGGCTTGACAGAAACTTAATTCATAGTGTAAAATCTTGCTTATTTGGAATCTGGGAGAGTCAAAAAGCAAGTTCCTGATGGATTTGGCTTGGTTGGTTATTCCATGTACAGAAGCAGAACTATAAATTTAAAATAAGAGGATCTATGGGACATTCTTCTTGGGTGACAATTTTCAAGAATGAATAGAGGGTTTCTGATACATAGGTCCACCTTGGTACATCAAAACCTGAAACCTACACAGAAGTGTATCCTTTTTGATGTATGTTCTTGACCTTATTTTATATTCTTTCATCTTGACCTTTTCATGTTTTTCTGTTCCTAATCAGGTATCTAAGAGGCTGTACAGTATGGGCTGTTACGAAATCTCTCTGGGGGACACAATTGGTGTGGGGACTCCTGGAAGTATGAAAAGAATGTTGGAAGCTGTTATGAAAGAAATTCCTCTGAGTGCTCTTGCTGTTCACTGTCATGACACCTATGGCCAGGCATTAGCCAATATCCTCACAGCCATACAGGTAACACAGGTTCTCATTTTATAGACATCGTAGTTGTAGTCTTAGTTTAATTCAAATGCACAATGTAAAAAAATTTCAGCCATAGAGAAATTACTAAAAAAGGAAAGAGGCACTCACTAAACTTTCAGAAAGTATTGCTCACATATTGGATTGTCTAAAGGTATTACTGCTGTTCCTTTTGCAAGAAAATGTCAATTCTTATCTACTTATTACCTTCAATTCCATACAGAATCACTAAGAAACAGTGGTGATTATTATATTCCACTGATTTTGGATGAATGAGGGAGATAAAATATTTTTTTTTTCTGGTGTCTCAGATTCCACTTTTCTTAGGAACATCTGTATGTTCATGGTTCACTAAACTAAAATTTCTATTTCATAGAGGTGTCTAAGTATAAAATAGAATAACGCATAATTACATCTTGATTTCAGATGGATAGATCTAAATAATGGGTGATTATGTACACATGCAGAATGGTCTAGATAATTTTATCATTGTTAACATGCCCTTGGTATGCTTTTTGGTTTATATCTTCCAAATAAGATTAGCAACAACTCTGTATCCTATTTAATCTTCTTTCAAATCTGTGGCTAAATAATCAGAAAAAAATAATTCCATAAGATATATTTTTTCCTTTGTGATAATATATATTTTAAGAATAGGACACAATACAAGAAACAGACTACAAGTTCTGATGTAGTTTTTGTAAACATAATTTTGAAAAATATCTTAATGTGTACATGCATTCCTAAGGAGACTTATTTTACTAAATGTTACAGAATCAAAAGCTGTTTACAAACTGTAGGTCTTTATTGTTCTGTTTTGTACTTAATGGCATCTTCTTCTTCCTTTCAATTCAGGCAGTCATTTTTAAGGTCAACTTACCTTTTTCCCTGCTTGTTATTTTGGCAAAGCTCTTACTGTGTTGTTTAGAAATAACAGCAGTGTGTTAACAGTATTTGTGATATAAGCAACAAGAAGGAACAGGAAGGTGTTTCAGTATGGGAATCTCAGAAGGTATTTGATAAAATACGGAATGACAAAATCTGGTAAAAAGAGTTCTAACGTTTACTCTCAGTGTTCACTATTGACCCTTACTCACTTTGACTGTTGCAAATGTATGTACCACGGGATGAATAAATTGTTAATTTCACAGTTAGCTTCAGTTGCAGATGTAATAGCTAAAAGTATGAAAACCCCTGAGCATGGGAGGAGTTCGCCATAAAAATACTTGAAGCATTATTTTTCAAATCCTTCCTTAAAATAATTGCTGTCATGCTGCCTACTAAACACTGAACAATGGCTATGCTTTGTTAACCCTCGTATTTGCTGTAAGTGATTCTTGTTTCAGGTTTGCCTCCTGCTCCTATCTTTTTATTTACTTCTTAAATCAACTATGTAGGAGTTAAAGGGGAAGAAAGCTCTTAGGTACTTAATGTGCAGTTCAGGCTAATTAGCATGTAAATTCAAGAGAGCATTAGACCTGAAAAAAAAATCCCCGTGCAACCTTCTCAGATTTCTGGGAAGCCAGGGGTGCCTGAGACCCACCAGAAAACTTCCCTATGTGCTCAATTTCTGCTACAGTGCATGTCTAAAAGTGCAGTGTTTTTGGCTGAGCAGAACTTGTCATAGATTTTGCCAAAAGTCCTTGATGAAGCAGGCATGACACAGTCTCTCTGACTGGCTTTTTGCAAGCAGCTCCTTGGCTCGCTCTAAAGGGAGGTCCCCAGGCTCTTGGATCCTCAAACAGAGCTTGCACGTCACAACATCCTCTCCTGTCTCTGGTCAAAGAAACGGGGCAGCTAGCAGCGAATTATAGCTGAGCAATACTCTTTCTAACACAGGACAACTTTTACAGGTCAACTGGACGGTAAAGTGCCAAAGCCAGTGGATCAGAGTGCCCAGGTCACTTTGTGCCCCTGCCATCAGGCACTTTCCTCTCTGCCAAAGATACATGAATGGCAAAATACTGGAGTAAAACCCCTTGTCTTCAACTCAGCCGTTCGTTTCATAGACCAGACTCCCCACAGACGCAAATTCCTTACCCTTCTTCCTTTGTGGGTCTGTGCGACCGACACAGTATTTCATTGGGAGTGAAATGTGTTTGAGGAGTTATAGAAATAATGGGCTATGTTTATTGTTTGAAAACAAGTTTAAAGAACATTCAACAGGCAAATTACACTCTTCCTTTTGCAGACTACAACCTCAGACTGAATACTATTGTATTGTATATTGTATTTCCTAAGAATTAATGAATGACAGCTGGAAAGCCACAAATCACTCTGCACTAATTCAGGCATTGCTTCTATGGGAGATCTCCTAGGAGTGGAAAGAGGTGCTGGTGATTCAGTAAGTGATTTTTTATACAGATCACATTGTTCCATGAAGGATTATACTACCCGGAATATTTTCTTTTGTTTGGGGCTGATCCAAAGTCATCTAGAACTGACAGGCTGTATCTGTATAAGAAATTAGCAGGGAAGTAGTCTTGTAATTTTAGTATTCAGTTTTATGTGTGTTGTTTTAGCAAAAGGATAGGTAGTGAAAGATGGGAGAGAGATTAGCCAACTTCTAAAGTATTAGTAATTTTTTAAATTGTGAAGTGAATTATAGAATGCATTGCCTAGAGAAAGGAAATTCACTTTCTTTTATGAAGAGAATCTGTGTAAAAATGTGAGGAACATGAAGCGATGCTTCAGAACAAAACAATAAACATTTAAAGTAGAAACATAACTGGCTCTTGGTTAAATGGTTTAATATAAAAATATCAGAGTATATAATTTACCAAAGAGGCAAATGGTGTGGCAAGTGGTGTGGTGATCTAATTAGAGTTTATGTTATTTTGAGTAAAATTACGTATGTGGGTTAGCTAATGTGACAAACACAAAATGTAGCTAAAAGTAGTAGTAAAGCATTTCTAGGAAATTGTTACAGACCTCTAAGGAAAGGTAAAAAGATGGGTCAGGAAACTTCTGTGTTGGAGGGGCCCCAAGAAGGCAGACCACTGATCTGAGGAGATTTGGGTTACCTTGACAATTGACTCCCATAGTGTATGCATATCAGGTAAGAAAGGGGGAGTTTTTTAATAGAAGTGATACAGAACTCTTTTCTTCCATGGCTTCTGTAGTTGCCAGAAATAGCTTTGTCTGTTTTCGTAGCACATATCTGAACATGAGAAAGAATATGCTAAGAGGCAAAAAAGGAGTTTTGACTGGCAGTGATAACTCAATGAATGAAACAATCGCATGGTAATCCCATAGAACTTTGTCAAATTCAAATCACTGTTGTAATTCATTAATATAAACTGATCCCTACACTACTGGCATCAAATCCTAACTTAGAGAAAAAAAATTACTTACAGGGAGCAGGGATTTTTACCACTTTGTATAATCATTTCCACCTTATTGGACACAATGAGATAAATGAGACTGATGATTTGTCAAAACAAATTACTTTTTATTACTGCTTTCTTCTTCCATAAAACAGGAATTTTGAAATAAAATCCACTTTATTATCAGAAACAGAATTTGACAAGCCTCTAATTAGACTTTCAAGGTTCAGACTGCAAAATCCAAATTTGTGAATACAGGTTTTCATTACAAACATTATAATAGATCCCCTTACAGAGAATGCAAAATAGTTAATATTTCATTTATTCCTTGAATTTTAAAGATTAATTTTTTTTTTTTTTAAATCCAAATAGGAATGGCTGACGGCTGACCTTTTCCTTCTCTTCCTTTCATCACGTAACTAAATAGATTCTAGCCCATTTGGTGCATGCTGGAGAGACTAACCAACTTGCAATATTTTTGTGCATCCAGTTTACTTATGTAGTAATGATTAGGATCACACAAAGGAACTCAGTGTTGATATAACTAGGTTTTAAGTGCCAGAACCAGGAGAGGAGTCTGAACATAGATGCTGAAGTTCATGCTTTATTGATTCATAAGGATTGTTATGTTACAGGAATAGAGTTCACAATGGCCAGCAGCCTGAAATGATAGAGCCTAAGTTAAGCAGCTGAAAAAGACTGTGTTTAAAATTCTCTCCTCCATGGTTCATGTGAGTTTCTATGTGAAGCCTTAGGTGAGATGAATTTTCCACCCCAAACCAGCTCCTAGATGTAAGTACCTAGCTTTTCTTTTTTTTTTTCAAATATGTAATTTGCTGTTTGTGGCTGTTGAGCTTGCCTGTAGTGTCAGGCTGTCAAGACCCCTTTCAGCTGCTGCTTAGCTTCCTGCTAAGATCTCTTGTCTGGGGCTTGCTTGCTGCTTAGGAGCCTCAGTGGGGGCACCCCCTCCATTTGTCGGTGGCTTTAAACCTGAAGCTCTTGTGCTTTGCCCCCACCTGAGCTACTCTGCAGCAGCATTGCAATTGTGTTTGCTCCCAGTCTTGTACCTCCCTGATTCTCACCCTCATCCTCACTCACAGGCTTGGCTTAGTGGCTTAGCTTCAGACCTGGCTGATCTGTAACTGACTCTGATTACTGTCTGTCTCCAGACCTGATCCTGACTTTGAATTGCTGACTTGACTTCCTGGCTCTTTTTTGGTAAGGTTGCCTCTGCACCTGCCTAGCTGTGACTCTTGGCTCCTCTATTGCCTTCCTTTATGAGCAGTTTATCCTTGCTGCTGCTCAAGACAGTCAAGTCTTTAGGGGAGGGACTAGCAACCAGTATTTTGAGCTTTAAGGAAGGCTCTGAATGGCAGGTAGTGGGAGTGGGTGCTGAGCTGGGAGATAGAGCAGCTGTGAGAGTTAGCAGGTCTCACGTGCTTTGATCTTGGAGCTCAGCTGGAGGCTTTGTCCTGCAGAGAGGCAAGGTATCGCTACTCAGGTAAATGTAGAAAGCATTTCCTGGAATCTGGGTGTACACAAAGCCCTAACAGTTCTGCACTGGGAACTCTGTTGGATCAAAAAAGGAATCCAGAAATCAGCCTGAGGAATTGGTGTCTGTGTCTGACAGAACTTAAACATCTCTGTTAGGTGCCAGACTACTTTCAC